CTGCAGGGCATGGCAGCATCCCCTGCCCCACAGACACAGGGGGTAGCAGGGTGGGCTCTGCACTAACCCCCCCGCCCCCGCCATTGCTTCCAGCTGCGAGCATCCAAGGACGACTGCCAGCGGGAGAAGGAGGAGAAGGAGAAGCTGAAGAAGCTGCTGAAACAGCACAAACAGGTGGGGATGGGGGAAAAACCCTTCCCGGGTGGAGGGGCTGGGGTCTGTGGGCCTGGCCCTCGTCTCCTGTTGGAGGGACAGCTCTGAGCTGGTCAATGGGGGTGGTGGCAGCCGGCTGCCCTTGGGGCTTTCTCCAATATCTCTCCCACATCCTCGCAGGCTTCCGGAGAGAGGTTGCACCCCGAGCCACGGCCGGGGCCGCTGGGCCCTGCCTGCCCCATGTACCGATACCAGTACAGTTCTCCTGTGGCCCCCCCCATGTCCCACGGCTTTGATGAGTGGCAGCAGCTCCCATACCCGCCAGCGATGCCAGGCGAGCACACGCCAGGACAAAACTTCCACCATTTTCCCACGGTGAGTGTCTGCCCATGTCGGCACAAGGGGGAGCAGAGGGCCTGGGGCTTGCTGCCAAGCGAGCGGCTCTTCCAGGGTCACCGAGCAGGGAGCTGAGCACGCGTCTTGTTGGCACATGAACACTCAGCCCTCCTCCTCCTCCTCCTTCCACCCTAGCAATCAAATATGGAGCGCAGCCTTGTGATTCACATCTCTGATAATGCGCTCTTTCTGTTTCATCTCCTCCTGCAGCCCGAGTACCCCTGGCGCCCGCCCTGTGCCATGGCTCGCAGCCAGAACGCTCAGGCAGTGGCCGGGGTGAAACCGGTCCCCAAGGACTTGGGTAAGGCTTGGGCCCTTGGTGAGGGGAGCACCCCTGTCCTTCACCCTGAGACCCTGGGCAGTTGGCTGAACACTTGGGGAAGGGATGGAACAACAGCTTGCTGGGCAGTGGCCATTCCCCTTCAGCCCCCACTCTGATTCTGCTTTGGGGTTGGTCCCTGCTGTGTCCCCCCCCAACCCCACAGCATCTGAAGATGGGTGCAAGCCTGAGCCCCAGCAGCCCGCAGGGTTATGGCCATCTGTGCTCGGGGATAACAAGCACCCCATGGCTGGCATCCCTCACATGGGACTTCTCTGGGCACGAAGAGCCGCGCTGACCCTATGCCACCCTTCTCTTGTGTCTCAGAACAGGCAGGTCCTGGATTACCCTAACGCCAAGGACCGGCTGCGCTGTGATACCGTCGGAAGAGGATTAGGGTGTGTGTGTGTGCCCGTGTGTATATACCTAGGAGCTTCTTCCGGCTGCCTATCCCTGCGTGCGGACAGGCAGTGGACGCGGCTGCACCCGTGGCCTGGAGCAGCTCAGCAGTGCATCCCCACCAGGAGAGTGTGAAGGAGGGACTGGAGGTGCCGTCACAGCGGCAGCCAATGCAGGGTCAGTCCCCTGCGGCCATCCCCTTCCCCACGAGGCGTCAGGCCTGCCATCGCTGTAGACCCAAGTCAGGTCTTAAGGGAAGAGGAGCTGGCCCGGTCCAGGGGCTTCGGTTCAGCCCTTGGAGGAGCGGGTGACGGCGGGGACTCTCCCGGCGGTGGGAGATCCCGTGCTTGCAGGCAGGTGCCTGCTGCAGCCACGGCCTGGGCTGAGGGTGGTTGGTGTCTTTGTATTTATTTAAGGACTGAAGTGTAGCTGAGTCTCTCTGGTTTTATCCTGAAAGCTGCTTTCCTTAGGGGAACCTCTGCAGGACGGGGAGAGATGGCAGGGCTGCTGGTCCCTGTGTGCAGCCACGGGGCCAGAAAGAGCATGAGGGGAACCCAACCCCTGCATGGGCACCCGTGATCTGTTGCCTCCGTCCAGGCACTGGGGCTCAGCCCCTTGCCCTCCCCTCCCTGCCTTTGCCAGGGCAGGACCCCACTTGCTCCCCCCTCTGCCTTTCCCTGCAGCGATGGCCTTGGAGCCCGTCTCTCAAATTGCACAGAGCAGATCTTGCTCCAGGAAAACAAGTCTGGAGAGGAGGAAAAAAAACCCCCCCCGCTCCTTTTGCCCCCCTCCATGCTCTGCACCAGCTGCCCGCCCCCCCCCCCCAAATGCTGGGCTGTGATGATAAATCCGTCTTTTCAGTTGACCTGAAAAAAAGTGGAGTTTCTCCAGCTGGGAGCCATCCCTCCCTGCTGGTACCCCCAGGTTGGCCTCTGTGCCCCCCACTTTTTCCCCTGACTCCTGGCCAAGAAACAGGGCTGTGCATCTGCAGAGCCTTTATTTGGCATTTCTGTGACAGGGGATGAGGGGCTGGCCATCCCTGGCCAGGAGAGGAGCGTGTCTCTGGGCCAAGACTACGGGCAACTTGAATGCACTGAAGAGCTGCTCCGTGCCCGGCAGGATCAGGCCAGGCCCGCCCCATGCCAGGGGCTTTCGGGCTAAGCCTTCATGGAGACATGGTCTTCTCCTCCGGGGGCGGCTGGCCCCTCCATCCCCCTGCTGTCTGGCAAGGCAGGATGGCAGAGCTGGGGGGCAAGCTGGGGGCCAGGAGATGTCACTGCCAGGGGTGGAGGTGGACACAGGGTTATTGGGAAATGTCCCCCTCCCATCGCTGAGGTCTCTGCCACGGGGTTGCCCAGCCCAACATCCCAGCTGGGGGGTGGCAGAGACGGGAGCAATGGGGGGCGAGCACTGTGCTGGCTCGGTGTTTGGCTCCTGCTGCTGGGAGCATCCTGGGAGGGGACAGCGAGGGGGTGCCAGTGGCAGGTGGGAAGCCTCTACCTGCTGCTGCTGCTGCTGCATGTAGGTGATGATGTCATTCTTCACAACAGCAATGTTGGCGCGATGGTACCAGCGCATGACAGGCACACCATCGGGGCCCACCAGGAACTTCTCGAAGTTCCACTTGATGTCATGGTTCCGCAGGGGCTCCCAGAAGAGGTTCTTGGGGTTCCCAAACTCTTCTGCCACCGGGGGACAGGCGTTCTGGAATGAGGGCCACCACATCACTGCCTTGCCCCATCCCCACCACCCCCCCAAAAAACACCCTCAAGCTGGGTACTACTCGCCCCTGCCACCACAGCACCCACCTTCAGGAAGGTGTAGACCTTCTGCTCCTTGGCCCCATTCACGTCCCCTTTCTGGAAGAGCTGGAAGTTGGGGACAAAGCCACCCCCGGGCCGGACATACCTGCAAGGGGAGGGTGGGCAGAGCAACATGCAATGGGTGGCTTTTGGTGCTGCACAGGGGTAGTGGGAGAACTCCAAGCCCTGTACTTTTGGGGGCTATAGCCCCAGGCTGGGAGGGGGGTCACAGCCAGCAGGAGCTGCAGCCTATGCACCCCACCATCTGCCTGGGGACCCCAGCCCAGCCAGGGGGCCAGGTGCCCCACAGCCCCCGCCGCAGTACTCACTTCAGCGCAGGGAGGATCTCTGAGTTCTGGCCGGGTTCCTGCTTCCCAAATTGATTGGAGGGGAAGCCCAGGACGACGAGCCCATAGGGCCCCAGCTCATTTTGTAGTGCATTCAGTTCTGCATGCAAGCAGAGCCAGGGGTGGGTTAGCAAGGGGACTGGGCTTACCCCCACACCTGCACCAACCCCCTTGGAGCATCCCTGGCTGTGCCAGGTCCCGGGGAGCAGGCATTACCCCTTCCCCCAGCTCCCTGGGGCAGGATGGACCATGGGGATCTGCCGAGGGCTGCACGCCTGGGTGACACCGCATGCTCCATCCCCCGGGGTGCCCGTGCCCTGGGGGACCCTTACCGAGGTACTGCAGGGTGAGGCCTCAGTACGTGGCCACGTTGACGAAGAGCACCATCTTCCCCGCGTACTTCCTAAAGGGGACATACTCGTCCCCATCGATGGTCAGGGCCCCATAGTCGTAGATGGTGCCCTGCACCGAGCCGTAGCATTTCACCTGTGGGGCAAGGAGCATCCAGTGGGATCGGGCTGGGGGCTGCCAGCCACCCCATTCACCCACCCCATGGCTGCCTGCACCCACCAGAGCAGCGGGGTCCAGCCCTGGCTGAGATGGCAGCTGCCTGCGTTGTGTCTCCTGCCCCGAATGCCACTGGCAGCAGCCAGGCTCTGGCACGCCAAGATCAGGGCAGCAGGATGGGCTGGCGTGTGCATGCACATGCACAGACACATGCACACACATGTGCACACATGCGCATGCCCGGCCAGCGGGGCTGGCTGCAGCTGGAGGGATGTTTACCCAGCCAGGGTCAGGCAGGAAGGCGAGAGGCTGGAAAACAGCCTGAGCTGGGCTGGGGAGTCCAGCCCCGGCCTCTCTGGGGCTGCAGGCAGGCAGAAGCCCCCCTCCCCGGGGGGAAGGGGCAGCCAGAGCACCCTGGAGCAGCACCGGCTGCTGCGCCGTGGCTGAGCTGGGCCCAGGCAGAGGAGGGACCGAGGCCGGATCGGACCCGCGCAGGGAGGTGTCGGGGTGAAGCAGCCCCTGCCCGCAGTGCTGCTGGGGTTAACCCAGGGGAGCCCAGCTCCTGTTCCCATCAGGGGACCCAGGCTCACCCAAGTGCCACCGAAGGGCTATTTTGGGAGCTGGCAGGAGATAAAGTCACAGGGCTCTGCCCGGGGGAGCTCAGCCTCCACGGGGGTGGCCGGGGCCCTGCTTCACCCACCCGGGGCGGGGGGCTGCCCGGGGGTGACGGTCACCCCTGCTCTCTGCCTGTTGGGGTGTGGGGACACGGCAGCCCCCGCACCCTCCAACCATGGTGCCACCCCCCTGGACACTGTGCATGGAACAAAAGCCCTGTGGCTCTGCCCCTATAGGGGTCACTGGGGGCGGGGGCGGGGGG